CAGTAGGTTTTCTGCAGGGGGTTTCTACTGAGAGCTGACAGAGGGCATCTTGGCAAATGTTCAGAAACGTACATTAACTTAGTTATACCCTGCATGGAACCTCATGTTCAGCAGAATTCTTCTGACCTGCCTCTGCATGCCAAGCTAATCAGCAAACACCTAATGAGCCCACTCCAAAGAAACAGACTCTCTCCCAACCTACTTCATTTTCATATGTTCTCTGGGGGTGGGGAGACAAGACTTCATGAGGACTGATGATGCTGCAAAGACCACAATAATGATAATTAACTTGCTGAATTTAGAAGATTATGCTGTTAATTAGTTGCAAAATAAAGATAAGTAATAGAGCAGCAGATGGTAGGATAACACCCAGGAGAAGGAGGGTTATTACTCTGATGAGCTTTTGTGGCACATGTGAAATATGGATCTGACTTTTTCATAAATTGTTTCCAGAGAACATTATGGTTTTTCTTTGAACTATGATAGAGTAGTTTGTTCCTACTAAGTTCTGACAGATGTGACAAAATTTGTTTTCAGGAATACAACATATAACATAGAATTTGAATAGCAAATTATTTTTAGCAAATTACCTCTTAAAGTGAATTCAGTTCAGCACAACAGTCTATCTCTATTTCTCTAAGAAAAAAAGTTTTCAATGTAGTAGTTGAATTTTACATCACTAAAAATTAATTCTAAACATTAAAACACTAGTCTACTTAGAATTATAGTAATAAAGATATTTTCATATTCTTCCAAACAAGGTATATACCTTTAGTTTAAAATTAAAATTATGTCTATGTTTTATTGTACATGTTGGAGAATATAGACTTTTAAATATTATTTAATTTTGTTGAGTTCTCAGTCTTTTTTTATTTGTATTAAATTTATTGAGAGAAATTTTGATCTTAGTAATGGGCTGACCAATGTCTGATGTTCTTATCAAATCCTAATATACTTAGAATACTTAATATTAGACAAAAGCTCTAGTTTGGCAAAACTTTTGTTTAAAATATGTTTAATGAACTAGGAATCAACAGACAGAATTTCTTGTCCTGGTTCTGCTTGTACCTCACTCTCTATGATTCTGGGAATTAACTTTACTCTTGGGCCTTCGTTTCTTTATCTGTAAGATGGTGAATGGAGTAATTGATTTCCAGTATCTCTGCTAGCTCAAAAATTATATTGTAAAATAAATACCTGTTATATTTATATATTTTTATTAATTTTTTGAACCAAACTATTTGCCCTTCTTTTAAATGTCTCTAGCAAATATATATGTGTGGGTTGTATATATCCTTATATTAATTGTAAAATTTATATGAATCATATTTAGTGACAACTTTTTTACCTAACCCATTCTAATTATTTTTAGTTTACATGTATATTTATTGCTGTTTTAAAAAATCTGCATTTCAGAGCGGTGTTAATTAACCCTTGAAAAATCTTAAATTTTGTACCCAGTGGCACACTTTCCAAGTCAGACTCACTGTAATCAATGTAACAGCATGGAGCAAACATTAGAGCTTCTTCACTGGATGAGGACTGTGTACCCTAGGGCAGTCAAGAGAGGGTAATGAATGAATACTGATGCTGCTTTTAAGTGCTCAGTAAGGTAGTAACTTGCCCTACTAAAGATTATTCAAGAGAGTGATGTTTATGTACTTCAGACTCCCCTATGTGCAGTTACTGTATTTCATTAATTCTAAGAGTTAAGCTCTTCTCTATAAAACTTTAAATGCTCTTCAATTCTATGATGTTTTCTACCTAAGGACTTAAAAATGTTTTACCAACACATGATTTACCAAGTTTCACATCTCAACAGCCTCTTATATTTATGCACGTCTTATATCCAGAAATGAAAGCCCTAACCTAACACTAGAGACTGAGTACTGTTCATTGTATTTGATGTCTAATATTCTGTTTTTAAATGATGTAATTATGCAGAATGACCACCTCCCCAGATTCTCCTTTGTTCTGTTTATGTGACCCACACTTTCAAACCCCTGTCTTTCTACTTTTAATTCTTTGACCACTTAGCCTAAGTATTCCTACCTGATTATAGCCAACTACTGCTTTGGTCACTTATCTGACTTTAGTTTTAATTCATCTACTTCCACATTATCCCATCAGTTATGTTTCCCAAGTTCCTGTATCTTAGCAACTAATGTGGTTGTTTCTGCTTGTTTAAGAAGGAAGAAAAGTAAGGGAGGAACCAAGAATTTTATTTTATCTGGATTCTGAAAGATGCAGTGTATGATGTGGTCTTGAGAATATATTTTACATAATAAAACATGTCTGAGGCTAAACCAGTGCTTAAGATGGCCCGAAAGTTCATTTTTCCTGAGTACATTTTGAAAATACAGAAGTGTAGGAACTCTCCTGATTTTTTGGCATCCCCAACCCCAAATCTGTGCAAAGAAAATAGAGGCTATTTTTGAAGAAATAAGGAAGCTGACATTTGAGAAATCCTTTTATGAGTCAGATATTTTTGCATATTATACTTAAGCTTTACCTTAACCCTGCAAGGAAGTTATCATTATTCATTCCCAGTGTTACCAAGACTCAAAAATTAAATAATTTGTTCAGAGTCACACAGATAGTTTGAAGCAGTTAAATTCTGAACATAATGTGTCTTCTCGGCTGTATACCATATGTATACAAATATGTATACAGTATACATTATGTATACCAACCAGTGAAGACACTAGGACTTTACATGTTGTAGTGCTCTTTGCAATTCATAAAGAAGTACTCTTTTGGGAAAAACCTACCTCGTCCTTGGGTGGTGTGGCTTTAGCTGTTGCAGTATCAGACTTGGCATTCCTAATCCTTTGTGGTTGTCTTTGAATCATTAAGCCATCCAGTCTCAGATTTTATTTCTTGATCACTCCTTGTGTTTTTTGGACAAATCCAGGATTTGAACAAGCTTAATGGCTGTGTGACCTTGAGCAAGTGATCTCTGGTTTCCTAATCTGTAAAACTGGGATATTGTCCTATTAGAAACTCATTGATATCACAACATGAATGGATCTCAGATACATTATGCTAAAGGAAAGAAGCTAGATTCAAAAACCTATACACTGTGATTCCATTTATATGGTAGTGTGGAAGAGGCAAAAGTTTTGGGATTAGAAAACAAATTAGTGGTTTTCAGGGGCTGGGTGTGTGAGGAGAGAGTTACAGGAAAGGAGTAAGGGAAATTTTGGGGGTAATAGAACTGTACTGTAGCCTCATTGTAGGTGGTGGTTCTACAACTGTATGTGCTTGTTAAAACTCAGAGCTTTACACTAAAATGAATTCATTTTACTGTATGTAACATACATCAGTACTGCCATTGATTTTTGAAATCGTACTCAGAATCTACAGTGATTAGCAGTAAAGAGAAAATGTCCACTAACAGTTGTCCAGATAGAACTATTCCATAGTGGAAATTTTGTTCATCTTTTCATATATGTTTCAGTTTTTAAGGGATCTGGATCACTTATAGAAGATATGCATAGCTGAAAATAAAGAAACTTCAAATTTTGAATAGTTGTAAAATTTTCTAAATTGTTCTTAGTTGGAGTAAATGAAGGCAATTGTACTAGAATCTTTTTTTTTTTTTTTTTCTTTTTCAAAAGTTCTCTCTTATCCACCTCTTTTTGCTAAGTCCAGGGAAGGGAGAGAGAAAGGTTACCAAGAATCTGTTTTTAACATGTAACATCCAGGCAATTCTAGAAAGTTTAGGAAGCACTGGATAGACTGCAACACAGTTCTCATACCAATATTTGTAGCCTCTCTTTCCCAAAATTTGTGCAGGAGTGTGGATCTTAGGAAAATGTAATGGATGTATTTCTGCATCAAATTTTATGAGGGAACTTTATTTTAGGCTCAAGGACTATATCTCAGATATTAAGAACATTATCAGCAATAATAGTTCCAGATCTCTCAGGTCCCTGGAGGTCTCTTTCATCTCTAAGATACTATAGTATGATTATATTGTGCTAATTATTTCAAATTTACAGATCATAACAATAAAACTACCCAAAAATCACATGTGCTGTTTTCACCAAAGAAAACAATTTCTTTTGATTTGCAAATATATTTGTTGTTCATCTATGTTGCAAATCAATAACGTGCCAGTTGGTAAAAGGGATACAAAGAAGTGTAAGGCAATCTCTGCTCTTAAAATGCTTACTGTCTGATTGGAGAAATAATATATTCACATATGATACATTTTTGCTGATAGAAGAATAAACTTTATTCAAATTGTGTCCTTATAAAGAGGTAACCATAAATTTCTAGGGCTTCATTCTAACACTAGACCTGTCATACTCTGACAGTGGGGTTGGGTACAGTCTAGTTAACTGGAAAAATGGAACATAGTGGAAGGGATAGACTTGGAAGTAGATCTGCTTACTGGAGACAAGGAAGAGCTAAGGGAGGCTAACCCAGCTGTAGGTTCTGAGAGGAGGTTTAGCCTGACAGATAGTGTAGTGGCCTAAAAAATGCAACATCAGGTCATTGTCGAAGTAAGCACTGACATCAGACCTGGGTGCAGAGATCAGATGGCCCATATCTGGAAAAGAAGAGATTTTGGTCTAAGAATCTAAGAGCCTGGGAATATTGGGATATAGGATACAGGAATTGGGTGGGGGAAAATAAGTGAAAGTGCACATAATTAACTTGTGTTGCTTATTTTAGTTTAACAAAGCTAGTTATTTTCAGTAAGTAGTGTTTTGAATTTTCACTCCTCAAAATTGATTAGGAACAACAAAGTTCAGAATCCTTTAGTACTAGACAAAAGACTCAGGGAAGCTTTCCAAAGGTTCTTTTGTTTATGTTACTGATACTTATAGTGATCTTAGGATTGAAATGAATTATAATAAAACTGATTTTGAAGCTGAATGAATTTATGCCTTTCTTTACAAATACCTTTTTTGGTTAACCAAAGAGCATGTTAGGAGTTAGATTTGGGTGGAAAGTAAGGAACTTCTTAAAAATTGGTTTTTGCGTTTCAGAGATTAAAAGCTGCTTTGACCCAGCAACATCCTCCTGTGACCAATGGCGATACTGTAAAAGGTCATGGTAGCGGATTGGTTAGGACTCAATCAGAGGAATCTCGACCACAGTCATTACAACAGCCAGCCACATCCACTACAGAAACTCCGGTATGTGTGTTGTTTTTATCATTCAGCACTCTGTTGTTATCCTTGAAAAAACAAATACAGTGTAACTTAATTGACTATGTACTTTGAAAAAAATTATTTCTGGTTATATTGTTATTCTGAAAGTGTACCAGAAGTCTTAGGAAAAGGCAGTTCAAATGTAAAAGTATTGATATTAAATAAAGTCAGTCCAGTCCATATTCTGTCAAGCAGTTATTACTATGTAGGACACCCTGTATGTATGTTGGACTGAAATAACACAATATCCATTGATACTTTTTAAGGAAACATTTTTTTCTTTTGATTGTATTCAGTAAGTAATGTATATATGTATTACATTACTAACATAAATCAAATAATTCTTTAATTAAAATTTGTGAAACATCACCAAAGGAAAAGATATGCCATATATAGCTGTTTGTACTAGAGGCCCTTTTCACTTGTATGTAGTTTTTGACTTCCCGTTAGGTTATTGGTATTTCTGTATGTCCATAGTATATTTCTGTAGTAAAGGGTTACTATATTTCTGTTAAGTGTTTCAGAACACAAGAGCTTTTATCTTCTCTACTTAAAGAATGTTAGCATTGGCATTAAAAAGCAAAGCTTTCCATTTAAAGAAACACAGGTAAATAGCAAATTTTAGAATGTCTCCTAAGCATAGGTATTTAGATAATTATATTTTATCTTTATGAAACTTAAAGTGGAATGTAGTTGTAGGGAGCGGGCAAGCAAGTGTGTTTTAATGTCATAATTCAGGGGTTAGCAAGCTGGACCTGGGGCCAAATGAAGCCCTGGGCTGTTTTTTTGTATGGTCTACAAGTTAAGTATGGTTTTCACATCTTTAAAAGTTTATTTAAAAGAAAGGAATATAATTTCTTTTCTTATACCAGCTATAGTTTCCCTGGATCTGATTTTTATTTGTATCTTTATATTTGATTTTATTAGATAACAGCTCCACTGCTGTATCTCTTGTTTCTAGATTAGTTCATTTTTTTTAATGAAGTGGAATGAATGAATCAAAGGAGAGAAAGAGGTATATATGCTTCTAATTAGCCTCGAGTCCTTGTTAGGTATAAAAATATACAAATGTAATTCTGTAATAGCTTCCACTTACTTGGGCTTAGCCTTTGCTGTAATAACTGAGTTGTCCATTTAAAAAAAAGAAAAAAAACTGTTATTTCCTATTCGGCCAGATGAATACAGGGAAAAAATCTGCTTTAATTTACAAGGATGAAGTACAAAAAATATTACAAGGTTGCCATTCTTTTCTTTTTTTAAATATGTTTTTATTGATTTCAGAGAGGAAGGGAGAGGGAGAGAGAGATAAAAACATCAATGATGAGGGAGAGAATCATTGATCGGCTGCCTCCTGCACACCCCCTACTGGGGATCAAGCCCTCAACCTGGCATGTGCCCTGACCAGGAATCGAACCTCAATCTCCTCGTTCATCGGTCAACACTTAACCACTGAGCCATGCTAGTTGGGCGCAAGGTTGACATTCTTGAAGCCAGCCATAGAAGTATTTTCTAAAAGATTAACTTGGAATTATATACATAAAATAAATAATCTAATACTTGATCTTTATTACAATTAAAACATAGTATAAATGGGATAACCCTTATAATTTTTAATGCTAGTTATTTGGAAAAGGAATTAAATAATAACATTTAGTTTTTTTGGAGTTCATAGAGTGAGAAGTAGTTTGGTGATTTTCCTGCAGAACTTATTTGAGCTTATATATGAGATTTTTGCTTACTATATAGATTAGGAGAAGATAGAAGTTTTATTTGTTCACACCATTTTAAAATATAATTAATTATAGGTAACAGATTGCTTTCAGGCTTCTTTGGATCTCATCATGTGCCTGTGGGCACAACATGCTGTTTCCTTTGCACTGTTTCCAAGGGTTCATTTCCTGTCTCCCGTATTCAAGTGTTCTGTGGTACAATTTTGGGATTTGTGAGAGGCTTGGAGGTATTTATTGTTCTGTAGTGCTAGACACTAGACAACGTCACTAGTGAGTGAAGATTTCTGTCTCTGGATGATCTGAAATAACCAGGCCAATCCACTGAGGGGTGGGGGATAAATTAAAATGAAAGTCTGGACTCCTCTGGTATCCTACCCACCAGAAAAATAAGCATTAATGAACCTAACCCTTAGAAAAAGACTTACCCTAAATTTCAAAAAACTGAAGAAAAGCTGAGTAGAGTAATGTGCTACATGACGAGGTTTCAGACAATGACAGACTACATATATGGTGGTGGTTCTGTAAGATTACAGTATATGCTTGCAAGCAAATCTAGGATGGAAAACAAGCAAGCAAACCACCTTGGGCATATTTCTGAAAAGAGTGACACCTCCTCAAGAAGAGCCTCGGGCAGGTCCTTCAGGAGGTATTCCAGAAGAAGGCATTGTTATCATAGGAGATAACAGCTCCACGGTGCTATTGCCCCTGAAGACCTTCCAGTTGGACAAGATGTGAAGGTAGACAGCAGTGATGTGGATGATCCTGACCCTATGTTAGGCCTATGATAATGTCTGTGTTTGTCCTAGTTTTTAACAAAAAAGTTTTAAAAGAAAAAAATAATTGTAAATAGCCCTGGCCAGGGGCTCAGTTGGTTGGAGTGTCGTCCTGTACACCAAAAGGTTGTGGGTTCGATTTTCGGTCAGGGCACATACCTAGATTTCAGGTTGCATCCCCAGTAGGGGTGCACATGGGAGGCAACTGCTAGATGTTTCTCTCTCTCTCTCTCTCAATGTATCAGGTGAGGATTTCCAAAAAAAAAAATGTTTTTAATAGTAAAAGTTATAGAATAAGGATATAAAAAAAGAATATATTTTTGTACTGATGTACAATGTATTTCAAGCTAAGTGTTGTTACAAAAGAATCCAAAGTTTTAAAAAGCTCAAGTTTATAAAGTAAAAAAGTTACAGTAAGCTAAGGTTAATTTATTATTAAAGAAAGAAATAGTGTTTTTATAAATTTAGTGTAGCCTAAGTGTATAGTGTTTATAAAGTCTACAGTAGTGTACTGTAATGTCCTAGGCCTTCACATTCACTCACCAGTTACTCACTGACCTACTCAGAGCAACTTCCAGTCCTGCAAGCTCCTTTCATGGTAAATGCCCTATACGGGTGTAACATTTTTTATTTTTATACTCTATTTTTATGTACCTTTTCAATGTTTAGATATGTTCAGATATAAATACTGTGTGTTAAAATTGTCTGTAGTACAGTAACATGCTATCCAGGCTTATAGCCTATGAGCAATAAGCTATACCATGTAACCTAGGGGTATAATGATCTGTACCATCTAGGTTTGGGTAAGTGCACTCTGTGATGTTCCCCTACAATGATACTGCCTAATGATGCATTTCTCAGACTGTATCCCCATCACTAAGTGGCACCTGACGATATACCAAAGTCTGTACATACTTTCATGCCTTAATTTTAGAGAAACCAATTTTTAAAGAAAATTTACAGATTTAATGATATTTTTACTTCAAAAATAGCACAGTAAACATGGTTTCCCATAGTCACTTTGAATAAGTTATTAAAATTTTACCATAGTACCTTATAATTGGTTTTCAGAGGGTTGAATAATACCATAATATATTGAATAATACCATAATGTACTTTTGTTTAAGAGTATACTTGGGAAAATGTAAGATCTTTACATGATCTTTTGTGTTGCATTTTCAGTTTCATCATATTATTTCTATAAAAATGAAAATGTTATAGAATCTTTAAAGACTATATTTAATATAGTAGTGACTTAGCTAGAATCTTGTTTCAGCAGTGCTCACTTATTTCAAGGAATTTGTTAAACCACAGGGTGATTTTCACATTGCCCCAAAATACTGATGTGTACAGTGAGACTTAGAAAATAAAGTTAGTAGCTCTCCCCTTCTGCCACCCTTTACTGGCAGTGTTATTTCACTCACCAGATAAAAATATAAAAAGCTTCCATTTCTGTTTATTATAGGCTTCTCCAGCTCACACAACTCCACAGACCCAAAATACAAGTGGTCGCCGAAGAAGAGCAGCTAATGAAGATCCTGATGAAAAAAGGAGGAAGTTTCTGGAGAGAAATAGAGCAGCAGCCTCAAGATGCCGGCAAAAAAGGAAAGTCTGGGTTCAGTCTTTAGAGAAGAAAGCAGAAGACTTGAGTTCATTAAACGGACAACTGCAGGTATGGTGCATATATGTAAACTTTGTTTTATTTTAATAATCATGAACATAGCCCTTCCCTTTTTTTTTTTCTAGTTAGCCATCTAAATATTTTAGGATACAATATTAGGTGTGTAGAACCTGTGTAAGCCTAATTTTATTAAACCTATTTGGATACTGAGATGAAACTTTTAACACTGATACAATGAAGTAATTTTAAATATGTGTTTAATTGTGTAGTGCAAAAGTACTTACACTTTATAAAGTTGTGATATAAAGTTCAAAGAATCTTAAAATTAAAAATATTACTGGTATTTCACTTTTCACGTTCTTTTTTTGGTTTATATCACAACAATAAAGTTGCTTTAGTAGCAGTTTTGTTTTTAAGTCCTTTTGTTCTTTGAATTATAAATTTTGTTTTGTTTTGTTTGTTTTATTTAAAGTGAATATAGTGCTCAAGAAAGGTGCCAGATTGACAGCTTTGGAAACTGAAGGACTCTTATTATCCACAGAACAGGTACAATATGGCCAGTGGCAATAGAAATCATTTTATGCTGCCCTGCCAATGTGCCTTAGATATATTTCTTAGGAACCTCGTGGGTATAAAGGTTTAAGGCTCCTTCCTATTCAGTCTTTGGTAAGATTTCCAATGGGGGAGCATCAAATCTATTTCCTTCCTTCTGTTTTTTTCTTCTTCTTTTTTAAATGTTGTGAATGTTCTCCAGCAAAATCTTCTAAACTACCAGTTGCTGCTGAGCATCAAGTAGAAAATTGATGTTAATGAATTGTAGTTATTGATCAGTTTTCTGAGTGAATTTATTCCTAGTTAAAAACAAATCTTTCTATATAATTATAATTGATGATGAGAAATGCTCTCTTCTTAAACCTTTCTATCTTTAAAGATGTCACCAATTATAAATGTCTATTTAAGTGCTTAGGAAAAAGTTTTTAGCATCAGGGATAGCATTTAACCTACAATATAAATTTTATTACTTAAAAACTTTTTATATGTAAGGCAGACATCTTTTAATACTGTGTTGTGCTTTGAAAATTGACATGTTAGTTTTAGAACAAATTGTCTTAGAAAGCATATTAGCCATTTAGAAAAAAATTAAACATGATTTACCACATCACAGAGACTTCAAATACATACTTACTTACTAGGGTATGCTAAGAAATTATTATAATATCACCATCTGATAAATGAATTCTTAAAAACTATTTTCATTATTTTTTTAAAATATATCTTTATTGATTTCAGAGAGAGGAAGGGGGAGGGAAGCAGGGAGGGAGGGAGGGAAACATCAGTGATGAGAGAGTCATTGATTGGCTGCCTCCTGCACGCCCCCTACTGAGGATCGAGCCTGCAAACGGGGCATGGGCCCTGACTGGGAATCGAAACATGACCTCCTGGATCGTAGGTTGACACTCAACCGATGAGCCACGCCAGCGGGCAAAATCAGTATTTTTAATCATTAAAAACTATGATGATGGCATCATAGATAAGAAAGTGTTCTCAGTTTTAGAGGTACATAACAAAATATGAAGACAGACGAAATGATACGTTGTCAAGGAGTTTCTTTAAAATACTTATACAAAAAAGAATAAGGTTCATTTGTATGTATTAACCTGGGAAAATGCCTGTAATATATTGTTGTGGGCAAAAAGAAAGTTGCTGGCCCTGGCCAGTTTGGCTCAGTGGTTAGAGTGTCGGCCTGCAGACTGAAAGGGTCCCAAGCTCAATTCCAGCCACAGGCACGACCTTGGTTTCAGGCTCAATCCCCAGCCAGATCAGATCGGGGTGCATGCAGAAGGCAGCCGATCAGTGGGTCTCTCTCACATCGATGTTTCTCTCTCTCTCTCTTTCTCTCTTTCTTTCTCTCCCTTTCACTCTCTCTGAAAAGCATATCCTCAGGTGAGAATTAAAAAAAAAAAAAAGTTGCTGTAAACAGTCTAAATGTCCAGCAGTAGATGAATGGATAAATAAATTCTGGTATATACATAAAATGGAATATTATTTAGGCACAAAAGGATTGAAAGTACGTGCTACAATGTGGATGAACCTCAAAACATGCTTAAGTGAAAGAAGTTAGACACCAAGTCACATATTATATGACTATTATATGAAAAATCTAGAGCAGATAAATCCATAGAGACAAAATGCAGCTTGGTCGTTGCCAGAGACGGGCAAGGAGGAAAGGGAGAAACTGATTAATGGGTAACGTGTCTTATTTTAGAATAACAGAGGTGTTTTATAAGTGGATAGAGGGAAGTGGTTGCACAACATTGTAAATGTACTAAATGCCACCAAATTATTCACTTTAAAATGGTTAATTCTATATTATGGGAATTTTAATAAAAAGTTAGTTGCATACTAAAATGTATACCATAAACCTTCACTAGTAAAAGGTTTATAGTTAAGTTAGATGGATACATGTATAGGTATGGAAATCATATAGTAATGAATCCCTACATGGGTAAAATTTTAGGAATGACATGTACCAGGATGCAACATGGTAGAGAGGGTATTGGGAAGCACAGATGGTTTGGGAAGCAAAGGTACTTCAATTATGACTTTCCCTATTATTTCAAGAAGATATATGATTTTGATTTTTATTGTTTTTTAGTTATTTGTCAAATAAAATTAAAAGTTTTAAAATAGTTTTAAAACAAACTATAGTTTTCAGAGTATGAAGAGTTAACATGCTTATAGCTGATTCAGGGAGAAAAAATTTCTTTCGTTCTGCCAACAGCAAAACCACTAATTGTGAAGAACAGAATGACTTGTAAAGAAAATTGAATGTCAAAGAAATAATTAAACTGTACTTTGTGTGAACACCATCATCAATTCTGCATTTTAAAAATAATCTTTCATTTGACATACAGGCTTAGCTGATCGGTGTAGTGGACAGTAATGACTCATGGTTACTTATATATTATATACAATAAAAGGTTTGATGAATTTTGAGGTATGACTGTTCATATTTTTACCAAATATATATTCGATTTAAAAAATTATTCAACCTTATTGCTCCAAACACGAAATTTGATTATATTTTAGCTTTCTAAAATCATTGCTTGAAAGGCAGGTTTGTTTGTTTTTTGTCAAATTGTATTAGAGATATTTATGATAATCTAACCAAGATTTGGATGCTGTTAATTATAAATTATATTTTTAAGGTAATATGATTTTGTTGTCTTTTATTTGAAATGGTTTTAACTTTATGGTTTTGTCTTTCAGTTATACTTATTTGGGGGGCGGTAGTTTTCAGTTTACAATTTCAGCATATTTCCTTTATAAACAAAAGTCAGACTCTTTACTACAAGTAATTCCTTAACCATTACTCTGTGTATAAAACTTGGGGATTTTTTTGTGGATTTTGCTTCTTAAGCTTAGGTATTATAAAATCTTTAGTACTTATTACTTGAAACAGAAAGGAATAGCAACAATTTAAGATGCTATACAATGCCTCTTTTAATTCGTGAAGGAAAAAAATCAGAACTATCTTATGATATTACTGTCTTCTTTTCTTCCCCTCCCCTGAGTTTTTTATCTGGGGGAGGGTAATAGTAATGCTGCCTGTTCCTCATGCATTTTATTAAGAGTTTGAGACCAAGTACTTCCTTTTACTAGCTTTACTAAAAATCTTTCTGAGCCTTTACTTTCCCATCTGTCAAAGTCATAGAATATTTTATGAAGGTCAAATGAGAGAGACTATAGAAGAGTATTCTGTAACTATGCTATGCAAATACTAGTTATTTATTATTTATTCTGTCGTTAAGCATCTGTTGTGGCAGAGTATGTTATTAGACACAGGGAATATAATAGTGAAAAAGACATTATCCTTGCACTTGTAAAACTTGTGGTCTAGCAGAGGAGACAAACGTGAAACAAGTAATTAAAGTATGAGAAGAAGAGAAAGGTCATTCCCATTTGTTTTGCAAAATATTTTCAAAATGGAACCCCTTCATCTATATTTCTATTGTAGACCAAGAACTGTTTTGTTCTCTAGTGTAGGCTTTGCATCCATGACAACCTTTGAAATTGTATAGTGGGAATATTGATACTTGATCATTGGTTTTTCTGAAGACTAAACATAAGAAAAATTGTATCTTTAGCTATGAGAAATTCCCCAAAGAAGAAACCATCTAACATTATTTAATTTTGAGGGTATTGGCTGAGCTAGTAAGTCAAAGATCATAAATTTATGAGATACCTGGTCATCAGTCTGTGGCCAAATATCAGTGAGAATTTTTGATTGATTGATCAGTTGGCCACCCTGTCATGATTTCATCAGTCTGATCTGCTGCAGATAAGCTGTAAAGAAAGATTTGTTCATCAGTATATAATTAATTTTGAGTAGCTAAAATAGAGTGGATCAATGGTAAGACAATGCCAAAATAATTTACATTTTATTTTAGACCAGAGTAATAACTTTTTCAGCATCTGCTTTATCTTAGCAAATACGTTTTACTTTGATTAGAAAAATTCAGTAATTTCTCACATTTGAGTGAGACTTTGACATTTTCAAAATGTTTCCATGTCCCTTATTTCACTTCACCTCTTTTTGGTATTTTTTACCTCCTAGACATAGAATTTCCATGGTCCTCTCTAAATATAAATATGTACTCAATCTATGCCAGGTTGTGCTGTGCTCTGGGGATACAAAGAGCAAGATAATCCCTGCCCTTGAGAAAATCCCAGTCTGGCAGAGGTGGCAAACAAGTAAACCAAAAATTGCAATCCATTGTGATAACTACTATATTAATACACACAAACATACATGTATATATGGCTGTGGGAACAAAGAAATGGGCACCTAACTTCTTTTTCTATGCAAATCTGTACTATGCTGAGTTGACTGCTAAAGATGAGTGAAATAATTAGCAAGGCTAAAAGGAGAGGAAAGATTTCCTAGGTAGAGACAACAGTATGTGTTTAGCCATAGAAATCGTTCTATATATAGTTAAAAATGGTTAAACATTGATTATTCCATAGGTTCAAACTAATGTGAAGGGTGGCCACAGGTACCAAATTATAAAAGATTATATATGCTTGACATACATATCCAGCCCTATTTTATATTACAGACATTAATGAGAGAAACTTGTAGACATGAGTCTCAAAATCAAGCTGATGCAACAGACAGAGGGAGAAACTTTCTTGGAAGTTATATATTGGATTATTCATAACATGGTTTCTCATCAATAGTGTCATTAACGAAGAGCTATAATTAGCAATATTGACACTGCAGTATTTCATAGAAATGAATTGTCTAAACAACTTATTTTTAAAGCAAAACTTTTGTTTTTCCCTTTTGTGCTTTGATCGCTATAAACCATTTTTGTCTCAAATATGATATTCTAAACAATTTAACCCTCTTATTAATAGTACAGATTTATCATGAGCATCGATTTTTGTTCTATGCTTTAATAGTGTTGCAGTTCATTATTATTGGGGTGTGAGGAACTATTTGACCCAACAGACTTGCCTTATTCTTTTGATTTTTATGTTTGTCATTAATCATGTCGGGATACCTAATGAGTCTAATCTAAATTATTTTACGTTAAGCTTTCTGGATAAGAGACTGGAGGGTGGAAAATGAAGTGCCTGAGCTTTTATGTATGTCCATTTGCTATATTTCATTTAATTTTGAATTCATGGATGAAAACAGCATAGTTAAGGTTAAAGAAAGTCCAAATAAGTAGAGGTGTTTGTAAATTAACATTTTTTTATATTATCAATTTATTCATATTATTTCTAACTCTTGAGTATTGATAATTATCACTAATCTATATGTCTTTAGTATTTGGGGGTGAGGGTGACCCAACAAAATTAACTGGAATCTCTCTATTTGGAATTTTACAGAGAATCTTCCAGATTAATGCATCCGAAACAAAAGCTAACCTGCTTATTCTGTAATAAAGAATAGGACAAATCACCATTGATTTATCAGATTTAAATTTAGATGTGTACGAATTGTCTAGGTCAGAGGCAACTAAACCATTTAGGTATTACATCTACTTTCATTGGTTTCGTGTCAGGCACAGTGCCTTGCAATGCATTTTAGCTATCCATGATTCATTGGTTATTGTGATTTCCCATACAGAGCTTTTCCAAGTTTCTAGAAAACTAGAAACTTGATTGAGTTTTCAGGATAAATTTTTCATTTTTAGGTGAAGAGAGTGAGTGAAAATTTATCCTGACTCCCTTGATGTTTCTAATTTTTCAAATAATCAAAGGAACATGTAACATATATGTAATAAAAAATACCTTCAACATTTAACCTCTAATATATATATAATCAGCAGTTTCAAGGCAAATGGTAATGTAAAAACTTTGAAATATGCTATCCAGTTGTGTTATCTTAAATTTTTATAAAAGTTGCAGCTTTTATACAAATGCTAACATATAAAAACTAATGTGTATTGATTGAACATACGTAAGCAGCATGTTTTATTTATTCCTTGATATTCTGTTAAAGATGTCCAGTTTTCATTATCTTAATCATTACTTGTTTTAAACAGTAAGAAATGTTTAATCTGATGCTGGTAAGGTACATAACTTGTTTCTTCTCCAGAGTGAAGTCACCCTGCTGAGAAATGAAGTGGCACAGCTAAAACAGCTTCTTCTGGCTCATAAAGATTGCCCTGTAACCGCCATGCAGAAGAAATCTGGCTATCATAGTGAGTAATGTTCCATTACCTACAGCCTTAGGCTACGGCAGTGAAATACTGCCACAGTGAACCAAGCTTCCATTTAAAAAAAGGAGACTGAAATTCTAATATTTAATATTAAATACCAGAACTTCTACAAAACTGTTATGGAATGGGGTCTACTTCCTAGAATCTAGAGTTTTTAAATTTTCCTATTTCTAGCTTTTTTTCTAGGAATTGCTGTAGATCAACAAAATGGGTTAGTTAATAATTTAAAATATACTGTAAGTACTGATGATTATTTTATCTTCCCAGTGTAACACTTTGTCTTAGATTGACAGGGTGAAACATTTCTTTTCCATCCTTCATTCAGTAATGACTTTTTTTTTCCTTTCCTTTATATATTTTTATTGATTTCAGAGAGGGGGAGGGAGAGGAAGAGAGAGACAGAAACATCAATGATGAGAGTCATTGATTGGTTGCGTCCTGCACACCCCCCTGCTGGGGATCGAGCCCGAAACCCGAGAATCAAATCGTGATCTCCTGGACCATAGGTCACTGCCCACGCTGAGCAACACCAACCGGGCAGTAATGACTTTTTTTAAATCAACTGTCTTCACTTAATATATAGCATCAGATCCTATTGTTCTTTTTTAGATATCAGCATTGTGTGTGTGTTTTTTTAATTGTGAACCTTTGTATTGAATCTTCTAATTAGTCATAAAAATGCTAAAATAGAATAGTATTTAAATTATCTGCTTATCACTTTACTCTTAAATGTTTTCCCTAAAAATTGAGATTCTTCTGTTCTCAGCATTTTAGAGGTTAATTGTGTTTTTTCCTTCTTGTAATGTCCTTCTTTTTGATAATATGCACAATGTTGGAACCAGCTGTTACTCTTGAATAAATGGCCAATTTTGTCCATTTACACAAATTTGTAACAAATAACAGAGCTAGGAATGCATTAGGCAACATTTATAATATATAACCCACAGTTTTCGTTTTTATGATTTAGTGATATTTCAGGGTATTTGTAAATGTGAAGATTGTTTCAACCATATGTATCCACTTTGTTTTAATTTGCCATTGTCAGTAATTCATAAGAAAGAAACATTTTGTATTGGATGCAAACAGTTCCTCAGGTGCTCACGATAAAACTTAATGGCCACCATCTTTACTTCTAGTCATTGTAAGCAGTTTCATCAGAATGGGCAATATTTTTTAATTTAAAAGTCAGTAGATTTAGCAACTCTCTATTGCCATATATATTTAGAACATTGATTTTTGTCCTTTTTGAGCAAATAAATCACAGTCCTTTGATATCTAGTCATTTTGACAAGGTAGTGAGACACATTGTGGAGTAAATTGGACCCATATAGAAATTTGTTTGGAGTTCATATTAACAATGATTGCCGCAGGGATGAGGCTATTATGGCTCCCATCTGACTTAACATAATTTCCTATAGAAGCTACTGAGTTCAGCATTATACATACATGGTTTTCTTAGCAAGAGAGTTTTCTTGAATTTTGATAGTTCAAAAGGAAATACATAATTGAGTCTATAAAATGAGAAAGAAAATTGTCTGCAATTTTTAAATCTTAAGCAATTAATTGGATAATCCCAGCAGTTTTCTCTCTATTCTGTAGGCTGTATATGTTCAGCAAATATAAGCCAACTTTTCATTGTAAGCAATAATTTATAAAGGTATTTTTAAATGTCTAGATGTATGGGTTTATGTCCTATACCCTTAAATAAACTGACTGAAAATCTGGATTAGTAAGTTTTTAGTGAATATATATTATACTAGGTTGTGAGAATGCAAGATATTTTTGGTTTGAGGAGCTATACCTACCTTTTTTCCTGTCCAGTCATCTAGATAATCAGATTAACAAGTATAGTTCTATCATAAAATTTGTTCTCTTCAGCTCTTGTAGAAATTTTAAAGTAATTTCTATTTTCAAATTTGAAGTCTTTGGAAAAAATCTGACTTCTCTGTTGTTTAATAGTTAAGGTAAATATACAGACTGATAACGTGAATATTTAAATCTTGTAGAAAATATGGGGAAATTCACAAATACCTAACACTATTCATCACGTTGCACACAGCAATTGCTAATGGTGGTGAGCTGTAGTGCTAGTTAATTGTTTTAAAATATGTGAGAGAGAAAACTAAGATTTAGTAGACGTTAAGGAATATTACAAACTCTTGTGGGTAAAGATGACCATTAAAGTCACACTGTCACAGGGTCGTAGTTTTAACACTGAAAGTCATGCATCCTGGGAAACCCTCAGTCATGGGAAACCGTGACAGTTGGCACCTTACCAGTCAAATAGTATAAAATGTGAATGAAAATATGATACATTCTAAATGTTTGGGTTCCGTAAAGAATAAAGCACAAAAGGAATCTTATTGCCATTAATTCATATTCTCTATGATCACTAAGTATAACTAAAATTGCATTATAGTTGTTTCTATAATCATAAGTGGGAAACAAAGCTCTGTGGGTCCTAAACATAATTGAGAGCTTATACGAGTGGGCCAAAAGTAGGTTTATTCTTGTATTATCATTTATTGATTATTATTGTGTTATTTTCTACACAAACAACTGCAAACTTACTTTTATCACATCCTCTATTTTCAGTACTGAAAATATATATGAACAGAGGTAGAGAAATTCAGAGAGTGAACTGTCAAACAGCTGATTTCTTTAAACTTATGTAGACCTAAAAATGGCTCGTTGAGTGTCATAAGATTTCTTGTATCTGTCTAGTTCTTGTGATTATACTAGTAATTTTTCTCTCCTCACCTTCTAGAAATGGTCATGGGTGCAGATATATCACATTATAAAGGTATTTTATATATAAAATTTATAATTACAGAATTTATAAGTGAGTACCTGTTCTTTGTGCAGCCTGAAAATTTGCTTTACATAATTCTGAAAGACTGGAGATAATCACTTGTCCCTTAGAATTTACTGTTTAATTTTGAGTCACTGCCTTCACTATACATTTTCATTTCCTTATTACACTCATCACAGATCAGCCTTTTTATTTTTGAAAGTTGGTGCATCCCTAGAATTTAAGGTTGAGAGAAAGGTCAGTTTGCTGTCCTGTTGAAGAGTAGTGGTTAGATAAGCAGAGGGCTTCTTAGTAGTCTCCTGTCTTTTCTTTGAACTTGTAACTATTGTGTTGGCTATTTAACTAAATTATAAGTGTTTTATAACATTTATTATAATTTTAAAAGAATTACTGATTGAGATTTTTTATTCTGTCTTGAGGTCAAATTTTTATCCAGGGGTGTGGCTTTGCATTCATAGCATATTATGGAGAAGATGGGACTCTTTTTCACATATATTTTAAAACCTGCTTTTCAAAAATGCATAAATTGGGGGCAAATGTGTCAAAATTCTTAAGAATTACTATATTTCAGAAAACCCTCAAAAGAAGGAATTTTATTTGAATAAAAGTTGTGTTTTGTGAGGTTCCTCCCTTCCATCTTCTCTTATAAATCATGGGATAAGTCCTGCTTCATAGTGTCTAGAGTGTTTTAATAAATGACTTTCAGAATGGGGACTTAGCCAATAGCAAGTAGGCCAGTATACATTCTCAGATTTAATAGAAAACCTGCTTCTTGTCTCTTCTAAACTAAATAAAAATTATTTTAATGCCAAGTAAATAAAACAAGGTGCAAAAGAATATATCCAGTATGATACTATTTTTTGAATGTTCAATAATAAGCTAAACAATATTGTTTAGGGTTACATACCTATTTGGCAAAACTTCAAAGAAAGAACAAGGGAATGGTTAAAGAAATACCAGAATGGTGACTGACTTTGGTGAGGAGAGGAGCTTCCAGGAAGCTTCAGGGTTATTGGCAATGTTCTCTTTCTTAAGTTGAGGCTGGCTTCACGAAGGTGTTTATGTTATTGTTGTGTCTTATAACTTACGATACAGTATAACTGTGTGTTGTGCATATCAAATTTTTCACTAAATGAAATTATTGGATTCTATTTTGTTAAAATAAGAAAGATATGGGAGATTTGTTATTCAGGCCTACAAATTGGTAGATTTACCTTCATAAATATTTAGAATGCCCTTTCCTGAATATCTTTTCAATTGTAGTATCTAGAGCTTTATACAGATTTTTATTTGAATCTCAATTAATTCATGCAACTATAACAGCTGGTGGCATTTAGATTCTAAATATTGCTTATTCTCATGTGTCTGCATCATTAGAATCAGGTGTTGTAATCATCCAGTGCTGCAGTAGATGGAAAGTCAGCCAGAATAAATGTAGCTCTGGAGACTACAGAGGGAATAATTTGAAGATATAATTTGTATGTAAGAATTAATTTTGTTTATTCATGTGGCAATACATTTTTTTTATCTTTTAGTAAGAATGGGATGTAGCAAACAGATTGGTTTTGTTAAATGTGTTGTTTGATAAGTGTTTGGTTATAGCTATAGGAGTCTGTCTCCCAGATTCCTACCCCAGTTTCTTCAGCACCCACTGGTTAGCAGATATTCAGCTCTATTTTCTGAGGCACTGGACACCCAGATGTTTCCATGTGCGTCATTGTGCCTTTGTTAGACCTGCTGCATGGAGGTAAAATTGCCCACTTCATGCCTGACAGCCACGTTTCAGTTAGTCAATTCCCACCATACTGACTTATCAAAAGAACTGATTTTGTAAAATACCTTATAACTTTTTACTCTGAATATTGACTCAGCCTACTGATACATTCTTTTGATATTTTAAGAAACTGAGCAATCTTTCTTTTTTCCACTCAGCTGCTGATAAAGATGATAGTTCAGAAGACCTGTCGGTGCCAAGTAGTCCACATACTGAAGCGATACAGCATAGTTCTGTGAGCACATCCAATGGAGTCAGTTCAACTTCCAAGGCAGAAGCTGTAGCCACTTCAGTCCTTACCCAGGTGGCGGACCAGAGTACAGAGCCTGCACTTTCACAGATCGTTATGGCTCCTTCCTCCCAGTCACAGCCCTCAGGAAGTTGATTAGAAACCTGCAGTGCAGCAGTTTTAGATACTCATTAGTGACTTCAAAGGGAAATCAAGGAAAGACCAGTTTCCATTTATGCGAAATCTGTGGTTGTAAATTTTTTTTTTTACTTGAAATTAAATTTGGCTCTAAAGTGGTGTAGCAGCAGTTGATGATCAGACTGAACAAGTTTTTAGTCTCTGGAAAAGACTGATTTTGCTTTTTTTATAAATATTGTTAGATTTATTAATTTTTCTGTGCTCAGTGTATAAACTGTATTATAATTCATTGTGGTTTATCATTTTTAATTTGGTGGTGTTTAATAAATGGGGGTGTTACTGAATCTCTCTTCCCACTTCCATTTCTTTTGACCACCTCTTATCCCTCAACTGTGATGGTAATATTGTTATATCATTTATACCAAAGTTCTGCTTAAATCCCTATGGACTTTGTAATGTTAACAAAGTCATAAAGCACTAGCAAGAGAAAGAAATTTGCTTTTAACCTTTTTGCCTTTTATTTTGCACATTATGCAAAAGGAACATGAGAACACTTTTTGAGTGAGTGAAAACATGGTAGAAGACATACAGTGCTTTTATGCACACTCTTAATGTTAAATTAAATCAAGATCATTAATAGTGCATCTTTTTTTTAATTTTAAGTAGACATGAATTTTGGAATCCTTTATCATTTCAAAAATGACTATTTTTCAAGTCTTAAATTCAGTATTTTAAACCCTATGTTTTGAGGCTAATAAAATATGAAATTATATAATGTACAATACAGGGTTATCAGATATTTAATAATTTTTGAAATTAGGTTTTTGGGTTTTTTTGCAGATGTCAGGTTACAAACTGAGAAGTTTATGCATAATCAAGTACGGTATGGTTGCCAGAAAAGCCTAAAAATTACTACTTAGAAAATTTAAGACTGTTTACCCCCATTGTCTTGTACTTGCAAGCTAACTTGTACTTATTCTTGTGAAAGCACTGTCATCTTTTAGTAGCAAATTTTGATAACGTTTCTTGTGAGAAAAAATCAGTATCTATCTTTAGAACAATGTAATTATAACGTGGGAAGCAAGAGTGAGAAAGCGTACATGTATGTATGTGTGTATGTATGTGTCTTTCAATAGTTTATGCCAGCAGTCTTTGCTTGAATGTTTAATGATGCCTTCAGTGTGATGCTGGCCAATAGGTGATTGCAGTTGCAAACGTCATTACTGTGCAGGCTTGGGTAACTAACATTCCATGACGTAGCTTGTTTCTGATGAGATGATTGTAGGTACACTTCTCTCATTATCCAGTCATCTGTGGGATATTGAGTTTTCTAATGTGCCATTATCTATTTTTATTCTGCGGTTATGTTCAAAATACAGTACACTATTTTAAAATAGACTAAATTGTTAAAAATTTTAAAGTAGTAGATGTGTGTAAGAAACCTTTGTAAAATAGTTATGAGTCCTACCCAGTAGCAACTTCTGGCATTCAAGCAGGATTCCATTATGTAAATATCTGTAATGCATTTATAATAAGTTGTGTAGTTTGTTCTGCATCCATACTACACTCTTTGCTAAAGTCTCAGTGCCATCTCCTAATGAGACTGACATTTAAACCTATATGGAATATCCTTGATAATTCAAGGAAACATCCCACCTGCCTAAGTTCCAGACTGGGAAACATTCAAATTATACAAATGATATTTCAGGACTTTTAAGTTATGAAGATAATAGGAATTTTATTGTTTGGTTTATTAAAACAGAGAACATTTTTAGTTGATAATTCTACTTCTAAATTTTTTTTATTTTTAACTGGTTTTATAATTTTAAAGTAATTCCTAATCATGATTTTGCCATAGTTATGCTAAGGAGTTGAACTCAAAGGCACAAAATATGAATTCTGCAAGAACGCTATTTTTTATTGTAGTTTGGATGGGTTAGGAAAAGCCTCAATTTTTCTCTCTCCTAAGTCCTTCAGTGCATTTTCCTTTCAATTTGTTATTTATGCAAGTTAAAGTTCTTTGATAACAGGAATTCTTGCAACTGTAAAATAAAGCTACATAGATGTAAGAAGTCATGTAAACGGTTAATGAGCTTACCAACGTTAGCAAAACTTTCATTGTAAATCAGTCTGTACTCAGCAAATAAAAATCATTATTAGTTGTATAAACACAAATTTCATTTTGACCTTCAGGATGTCACACTACTTCTGTACCTAGCATTTTGAGTCCTTATATTTGCAATGTTACACAAACTGTACTATTTTCTTTTATGTGCAGTTTGCATGAGTAAACCATCAGAGAATAAATTCTATCTTTAAATTATGTTCATAATTGCTTGTTCTTACCTATCTTTCATAAAGTAACATCACCTGATAATGATAATTTTTTTTTCCTTCATGGCATTAAGAACCTGCTACTCTATTTCTGTGTTAAAATTTATTCATTCTCAAAGACCTTTTGACTGCAGGGTGCTCAGCCCATTCTTCTTTCTCGGCATTCAGTTGAAGCACTGTTTAAGGTACAGTGAACGTTTAATTTATGTCCCCAGCCTGAAACACCTTCAGCTTCAGCCACACACATCCACCAGCCTTTGGTGTCTCTTGATGCCTGCCTGGCAAAACACCTTAAACATAATATGTCCAACACTGAACTCTTAACCTTCCTCCACCCTACCTGCAAATGGAATCCTCCCTCATTTTCATAAGTCAACTGATGACAACTCCATTCTTGCAGTTGCTTAAGCCAGAACAACATTATCATTCCCTGTTCCTCTCTTCTCATAGCCCACGTCCAACTCATCAGGAAACACTGTTTACTTTACCTTCAAAATAAGCCAGAACTCAACCACATCTCGCCATTGACACTGCTATCACTCTCATCTGTGCCAGCATTTCTCACCCAGATTGCTGTCTGCCTCATAACTGTCTCCTTGCTTTCACCCCACTTACTACAGCCCATCAATACAGCAGCTAGAGGGATGCTTTTAAACAAGGCAGGTTAGCTCTCTAAATCCTGGAGGTGCTCCTCACTGCACTCGGAGCTGGATTCCTTACAATGGCCTCAAGGCCTAGATGTTCTGTTCCCCCAACCCCATCGCCTTAACATCTACAACCGTATCTCCTACCACATCAATTTTTTTGTTTTTGTTTATCTTCACCCAAGGATATGTTTTTATTGATATGAGAGAGAGAGAGAGAGAGAAGCATCTATCAATTGCCTCCCGTACATGCCCCAAACCTGCAACATTTTGGTTTACAGAATGACACTCCAACCAGCTAAGCCACCTGGCCAGGCCTCCTACTACATCATTTTAAAGGGTGAAAGTGCTGCCAGGTGCCAGGCGTAGTTCTAGGCTACACCTATTGCCAGGACACAAAAATCCCTGCCTTTGTGAAGCTTACATTCTACATTGTGGGGGAGGGGGGAACACAACACAGTAAGTACATTGTGTGTTGGAAGTGGTAAGTGCTGAGTGAAGACAAAGATGAGTTTTGCTGGAGAGCATGTAGAACAATGTTTCAATCTAAAGAAAAAGAATCACTGCTATCTTTTAAGGTACACATGCTAACAAAGACACTTAACCTAGATTATGTGATATGATATAAAAGATTTCATGAAGACAAGCTGATGCATTTCTGTAACAAAGTTTGACAACTGGTATATTAAAAGAGCAAAGTCATGTTTATTTTAGAGGACAGGAAAGATAATCTCTTATCTCTTGACTTGTCCTTACTGTTGAATGTAGTTTTGCTAATTCTAGATCTGAGACTATAGAATTTGATGTGTGACACTAAGAATTTCTTTGTGAGACTGTTGTTATACAAGAAACATTTACTCCTAGGCCTTCATCTTATATACATATACACATGGATAGACATAGATACACACACACACATACCCTAGAGAACACCAAAGTATCAAAGCAATTAGTTCTAAAGTAAATTTAGAAGAACAAAATTTAATCTGACATTTTAAAATTGTCTTGACTACAGGATAATGGTTTTGAAGCAATGAATCATTTTTGTTTGATGTAATTGTGAAAAATCTTTTTATTTTAATAAATAGAAGTAACTTCTGTAATTCTCTCACATGGTTTAAAAAAATAAGTGCAGGTCTTTCCAGACTGTGTGTAACTATAGATTGAGACTTGGGTGTCACTGAAGCAAATATTAAGATCCTAGAGAGCATCCCACATGGGGGGGAAAAAAATCACAAGATGTAAAAGACCTTTCTGAAAACAAATGGTGAGTTGCCAGTTACATATATTGCCATAGAAAAAGTGTGACCAGTGAAAACGTTTCCAAAATGAAAGGATTTATTAGTTCTGAAATAACAAAGGCCGTGTGACATTGGAACCTAATTAAAAGGGAAAATATATGTAGTTTTATTCTCTGGCAGCATTCCAAAGTGCACACACACAACCTATTAGAACTAATAAATTCAGTAAAGTTGCGAGAAACAAAATATACAGTCATCCCTTGATATCTATAGTGGATTGGTTTCAGGACTCCCTAAGGGGTACCAAAATTCACTTATGTTCAAGTCCCTTATATAATATGGCATAGAGCGATGCATACAGTCAGACTTCCATGTCTGCAGATTCCCAACCGTGGATCAAAAATATTGTCTTTGATTTGCATTTGGTTGAATCTGCAGGTTCTTAACCTGCAGATATAGAAGGTCAATTGTATATTGAAAAGAATCCACATGTAAGTGGACCTGTGCAATCAAACTTGTTTTCAAGGGTCAACTACAAAAATTTGTTGCATTTCTGTATACCAATTATCAGAAAGAGAAATTAAGAAAATAATCCTATTTACAGTTGCATCAAAAAGAATAAAACACCTAGGAGTAATCTTAACCATGGAGGTGAAAGACCTGTGCTAGGAAGACTATAAGACATTGAAGAAAGAAACTGAAGAAGGCACAAATAAATGGAAAGATATTTTGTGCTCGTGAATTGGAAGAATTGATATTGTTAATAGATATATATGACCCAGAGCAACCTACAAATTGAATGTAATCCCTATCAACATATCAATGGCATTTTTTTACAGTATAGGACAATCCTAAAATTTGTATGGAACCACAAAAGACCTCAAATAACCCAAGCAGTCTTGAGAGAGAACAACAAAGCTGGAGGCATCATGCTCTTTGATTTTAAACTATACCACAAAGCTATAATAATCAAAACAGTATGTTATTGTAATAAAAAGATACATAGATCAATGGAAAAGAATTGAGAACTCAGAAGTAAACCCATGCATATATGGTCAGTTAATTTACAACGAAGGAGCCAAAAATAGTCTCTTCAATAAGTGGTGCTGGAAAACTGGACAGGCACATACAAAAGAATGAAACTGGACCACTATTTTACACCATACACCAAAACTAACTAAAAATGGATTAAAGACTTGAATGTAAGATCTAAAACCATAAAACTCCCAGAAGAAGACATACGTGGTAAGCCTCTTGGCATCAGTCTTGGCAATGATTTTTTAGATCTGACACCAACAGCAAAAATAAACAAGTGGGACTATATCAAACTAAAAAGCTTCTGTACAGCAAAGGAAACCATCAAAATGAAAAGGCAACCTACTGAATGGGAGAAAATATTTGCGAATCAAATATCTGATAAGGGGTTAATATCCAAAATATATAAAGAACTCAACACAATAGAAAAAAATAAAAAAGGGCAGAGGAACTGAATAGACATTTTTCCAAAGAAGACATACAGATGGCCAACAAGTACATGAAAAGTGCTCAGCATCAGTAGTCATCAGGGAAATACAAACCAAAACCTCAATGAGATAGTACCTCACACCTTTGAGACTGGTTATTATTTAAAAGGCAAGGAATAACAAGTGTTGGCAAGGATGTAAAGGAAAGGGAACCCTGCTGCACCATCGATGGCATTGTAAATTGATGCAGCCACTATGGAAAACAGTATGAAGGTGTTGGGGAAGGTTTCCAGGCTGACAACTGTCATTACATTAGGAGTTTATGAGGTGTGTCCCAGGTGGCTGCAACACGTTATGGATACCCTCCACACCGCACAGCAGGTGCCAAGGGGTTAAATAGGACTGGGCAGGATGCTAAGTGTACTGGGGTGTGACCCACCCAGGTAAAGGGAAACATTTATCAGGCTTGCCCGCCTATCACGCTTGCCCTGGGCAAGGCAATGGCCCTCTTCCATAACAACCTGCTTTTTAAAACTCCATGACCAAATCCCAGTCCTTGCATATTACTTTTCTTGAGGCTATCTGTAATGTTAAACATATGCAAATTTCACACCAAATGCAGATTTAGTTGACTAGTGTTTGAAACAAATGGTCAGGAATTTTATACTCTCAAATGCCACTTCTGACTGGTTTTTCTCATAATCAATATGCTTCTGAGGGCTGTTCCTTCATTTGAGTGAAATATAAATACTCCTTTGGACAGAGAGAAGATACTGATCCAGCACTACAACATACTTCTTCAAGACAAACCAAAATAAGCCCAATTTCAGCAAAACTCATTTAAATATATTACAGAACTTAGAACAAATATTGTGTCTTCCTAAATGAAAAGTCTATTAGAAAAATTATAAGGAAAGCCAGAGTCAGGAATTTTTTTAAATTCTTTTAAGATCATAAGATCAGATCTAACTATAAATTAGATTATATTGATGTTCTACTTGATAAATACCAAGCAGAAGCTACTAAGAAATCCACTACAGAACATTGCATGGGAACCTAATGAATATTATGCAAGCATTAAAATCATGATTTGCGTTCTTTTTTTCAATGTACATTTTTTAATAACCAGGCATTCTTTACTTTTTAATTTTTTATATATTCCAAATTTTTCATAATGAATTTACATTTTCTTTCTTTTTTTTTAATTTAATTTTTTTTTATTGTTCAAAATATTACAGATGTCCCTTTTTCTCCCCATTGACCCATTCCTCCCCAGGCCCTCACCACACCATGGTTTGTGCCCTTAGGTTGCATATATGCATATGGGCAGGGACAGGAGTCAAGTGCACACAGCTACACAGGCAGAGTGTCAGAACTGGAACACAGCAGCCTGGCTATTGAGCCTGTGCTCTTAACCACTGTGCTACACAAATTCCTAAGGAATTTGAAGAAATCTTGAGAAGCGGTCTGGGCACGCAAGACGTGAAATCGGGGTTCAAGCTGGTCCCATCTAGTTCTCAAGGACACAGGAAACCCTAGCTAATATCTCAGAGTAATTTTGACAGTGGTCTGACTAGAACTCCACTCCCAGCTATATGATTTTTTTCTATGTTAGTGTGAACGTTACCAAGGAGATAGGTA